TGCAACTGAAAATATGGATGGAGGACAACAGAGCTGCTTCATGGAAGAAGAACCTCAGCCTTTGTCTGTTAGCTTTAGCCCCGACTCTATCACCATATATATGTATTAGCTCAGCGCTACACATTCTCCTCTCATCACTGAGGTCCTCCATCCACATGACAGAGAGGGGAACACAAAAATGACTCAGCCTGCAACTGAAAATATGGATGGAGGACCTCAGTTTAGCTTGTTTGTCGCGCTAGCGCTGAGCTGATACATTTAAGGCAATATAGCATTGGAAAACTCTGTCAAACGGTTCAAGATAAACCTTGTTATTACATTTCAAAAAGAGGAGAAACAGCAGCAGTGTGTGTTTAAAATGTCCTCAGAGTTTGGCGGATTCAGGCTCTTTTATCTGAGAGCAGTGACATCATACAGATACTCATCAAAAACACACATTCAGGCTGTATTCTAATCACAGGTTTGAACACGGTGGATGAAGAACTTTTGTACTATTTTTTCTACAAAAGAGATATATTTTATTTTTGGAACTTTTAATTTGTAGGACTTGGTGATACAGACACCAGTAATGGGTTTCAGTTTGATGCTGTGTGTACTTGTACTCATAGAAGTACTATGACACCTCTTTACAGCAGCATGACATTTACCTCTCAGGTAGAGGAGGAGACGTGTCAGCTGTGTGGAGGCAGTTCATTTGAGTTGACTGATTCCCACTCCCTGCCAGCTGGTGGCAGTAAAGTAATATAAATCTGTTTGCTAACTGCTAACAAAACAACAACAAACCCATCACGTTAGGGTATCTCAAACCCAGAACGTACAGCGGACTGCAAACTGTGCCAAAGTTGTCAGGAGGAGGGACAAAATCCAACACTTTTAACACAAGTTATCAGTTAGAACACGTAAAACAACAYCACTGGGTTCAGAGCAGGAAAGCTGCTGCAGTTTGCTCACCTTCATACAGGTGTAGTCGTTGTTGATGTCTGGAGTCACACCTGACGCAGCCATGTAGGTGCTGCCGATGGTCTTGATCTTGGTGATGCAGCGAAACTGAGGCTCATCCAGGAGCTGTGGGGGGATCAGGTGAGAGGTTATTTGAAGGTGTGGGCTCTTACTCAGGTCTAACCAAGGGAAAGTTAGAGAATCAGCTTTAACTTGAATTCTGAAAACACATCAGGCCTTTTGTTTCATCTCTGCTTCTGATTTGATCAGGGTCTGTATGCTGCTGCTCCGGGGCCACCTCTCTGAGAAGTTAGGCCTTAAAAACCGCTCGCAATCACAGTTGAACTCAAAAGTCCTGTTTTGAGAACCGTTTTCTGTTTTAGTCCAGCAGGCTTCGATAAAGCAGCAGATCAAAGAGGAACTCACGCTGTCAAAGTCTGAGATGATCTCGTTCAGAAAGCGTAAACACTCGATGCCGCCGTTATTGATGCTCTCTTCAGTGTAAAAGTCGGAGAAGTTGGGAATCGAGGCAAACATGACTCCAATCTCATCGTAGGACTGGCTGTACAGCTCCTGAAACACAGTTGTACTCATCAAACAGAGAATAATTAATGCTGATGGACAGTAAACAACGTCTACATTTTGGTGACAAACCACAGATCAACTCTTCTGTGGAAATAACCACACCTGGATGTCTAATGTAAAAGTGAGGGCGGTGTAAAGGCCTGAAGAGGAACAGGATCATGAGAACCTGAACCGGATGCAGGAAACTGCTCCAAAGCTTTGAATCTCTACACACATATAAAGATGATCACAGCTCTGTGGTCCATCCCGTCACAGGAGACAAAAAAATATCATAGAAATGRTTTTATAGTAAACCTGCCATTCCCCAAATACAGGAAGTAAGTCACTYAAACGAACACTAAAACTATTTAGAGATGTATTGATTCTCTGTTTAAAGTGACTGTAATCAACATGAAGTATAAAATATAATACTTAGTTAATCAACAACAAAATATCCAACAGCTTCATAAAATAACTTTCACATAAACGTAAAAGTTTCAGAAAGTAGTCCGTGTTCTTGTTTTGTTTTTTTTTTCAAAATAAAATGAGAAAAATTAATAACCGGGTGGTTTGTCAGTTGTTGTTTTTTTGTTGTTTTTGTTTTACAAGTAAATTAAAAAAAAACAATAGCAAAACTGACAAAAGGCTATATTTTTTGTTTTAATATTTAAAGCAAAGATGAGGTTTATATTTTGTTAATCCACCACTTGTTACTTTCTGGCGGAACTGGAAATCATCATGTCCTGAACTCCTGGGACGTTACGTTTTCACTGAGCACTTTAGAAATACACAAAAAAAGTCTCATCTAAAGGAAGTTGATTTTACCGGGAACACAATTGCTTAATATTCCAAGTCATGCAGAATAAGGTTTTAGTGCTGCCGTTGACAATATCTTTAGGAATGGTTTCTGTTTTTAAAGGGGCAATATTATGTGTTTCTCAGGCATATATTTACATACTATACCATAACAAAGTTTCTATGTCACCTTTAGTTGTTATTAAAATGCTGTTTTTATGTTTAAATAGAAAATAAACTTGTCTTCTCATCACTTCCTCTACTAAATGCCTTGAAATTGGCCTCTSCCACTTTAAGAACCACCTTGCGCTTCTGCCATGATGCAGTTTACTTGGCATCTGAAAATACATTTCCTCAAAGGTATTTTTAATCTGAAAAGAACTTCACTGAGTGAGAAGTAGTTAGGAGCTCAGCAGACAGTTTAAGTTTCACTTTCAGTTTCACCCGAGAGCCTGCAGGAGTCATGGGCGGGGTGTGT